TCTCTGAAACAAGCTGCAGCTGGTATCATCATGCCCCTAACCCATCAGTAAATGACCCAAGACTTGGCACTAGCACCAGCCTGCTTTGCTTCACAGCTGAGTCTCAGCTGGGCAGAAATAGACTTACAAGTCCAGGAAGCATAAGAGTCCCAAACAAGAGGAACCCATAGAGGCCTACATCAAGACACATCATAATTAAAATGCCAAGGGTTAAAGACAAAGAGAGAATCTTAAAAACAGCAAGAGAAAAGCAGTTAGTTACCTACAAGGGAGCACCCATATGACTGACAGCTGATTTTTTAACAAACTTTGCAGGCCAGAAAGGAATAGTGAGAAATATTCAAAGTGATGAATAGCAAGGACCTATAACCAAGGTTACTCTACCCAGCAAAGCTATCATTTATCGTAGAATTGAAGATCAGATAAAGAGCTTCACAGACAAGAAAAAGCTAAAGGAGTTCACCTTGACCCCTACCCCTGCCCCTGCCCCGAAACCAGTATTACATGAAATGTTGAAGAGTATTTTTTAAGAAGGGAAAGAGAAGGGTATTTTTTTTTATTTTAGTTTTATGCATTTTATTTAACAAATTCAGGCTAGAGAGCATTTGCAACTTGAACCCCTGAATCCAGAGGAAACAGGAAGTAATGTGGGCAGGAAATGTTTTTCCGTGGCTTCTTCATTACAACCTCGGTTATCTATCTTCTCCTTTTTATGTTAGGATTGTATCTAAAGAGATCATCAGCAAGGGACTCTTCTTTTGCATGTTGATTCTGCGCCTTTATTTCCTGCCATAACCAGTCTTCTAATTCTGTATTCTTCTGAACATGATGGGCTATTAGATCTGATCCTCCAATGATCTGTGGAAGTTTTCCTGCTCCTGAAAATTCGACCTTTCTGAATTTCTTAAAATTCTTCAGTGGACCTTGACACTGGGGGCATTTCTGGAGGCAGCCAGGGATCTGAACTCCGTCAGCAACACCTTCCTCAGAGGCATCTCATCAATACTCTCAGGCTTGTCATTGTTAGATGGCTCTTCTTTAGTTGATGGCAGTGATTCTTGATCTCACATTTCTTCCCAATTTCATTTTCTTACGGTAGCGTGGGACTCTCTGGCATGGCTCGGTCATTAGGAGAGCCATTTGTTTCCATAAGAAGGGTATTCTTTAACAAGAGGAAGAAGGAGGAGGAGGAGGATAATGAGGGGAAGAGATAAAAATATGAACAGTAAATTGGCATTAAATACAAATCTATTGACAATTAAATCTAAGAATCAGTTGAATAAGAAATCTAATGAACAAAATAAACTGGTGAATAAATAGAATCAGAGACATAGAAACATGGAACAGACTGTTGAGTCTCAGTGGGAAGGGGGGAGGGGTTGGAAAGATTAGAGAATTTACATGCACATATGCATTACCTAAGGACACAAACAATAGGGTGGTGAAGGCCTGGGGTGGGGCAGGAACCCTATTGAGGAAGAAAAGAGGGGGGACTCCCTCAACAATAAAGATTTAAAAAATAATAATGGTTTATTTTCATTTCAAATGAAATATAATAGTCACTTAAAAAAGAAGAAAGAACAGAATTCAAGATTGGCTTGATTTAGAAAATCTATTTTATATATCACTGGATTAAAGTGTGACTTGCAGATTTAGTGTTTTTAAAATTTGTACGTTTAAAAATACATTTTAATAGCAACAAAATATAAAATACTCAAGAATGGATTTTACAAATCTTGTGCAAGGCCTTAATAAGAAAATGATAAAGCCTTATTAATATATTTTAAAAGACCTTAAAAATGGCACTACATACTATTCTCATGAATAGGAAGAATTGATACCACTAAAAATATTGGAATTGAAGGTTTTGGGTTCAATTTTAAGTCAGGGCACATACCTAAGTTACAATATGATTTCCAGTTGGGAGCGGAGCTATTATTGTTGTCTGTTGCCCTCCTCTTCCCATCCCCCTCCTTTCCTCCTTCACTTCCTCCTCCCCCTCCCCTTTCCCTTTCTCTCAGTTAAAAAAAAAAAAATCCTTCTTGGGAGAGGATACAAAAAAAGTATGACTAGAAGTGTTGCAGTTAGGGGGCTATCACATCATCCCTGTGTGTGGTTAGTGCACTATCAATAGCATGGAATTCAGTTCAGAAACATTTACGACAGGCCAGCATCTGTGGGCGTTAAGTGAGGCACCTGAACACAGAGATTAATAATTGGTAAGTAGTTGGAGAGAGCAAAATAAGGTAAAGGAATGCACTGGATCGTTTCTGACAAGTGGAAGAAGGTCAGGGATGCCTCTTGGAGGAGATGGTGTTTCTTGAGGAAAGAGATGGAGTTGGGTGCAGAAGGGAGGACAGGCTCATTCCAACCACAGGCAGCTCTGCTAGCACAGACACAGGGCAGACAGATGCTCTTCTGGAGCCTAAACCTTGAGTTGGGGCCTAGAGAGAGATGAGGCAGGTGGTTTCAATTTGGTTTCATATACTGCAGACATTGTGGCCCTGGAAGTGCAGATTGGTACACAGTGACAGGACTGTTTCCCTAGAACCTCATCCTAGACTGCTGAACAGGGAGGCTAGCCAGGAGGTGCAGTGGTCCAGATAAAGACCAGGAGGTAGTGAAGGCTAAGAGAGAAGAGTATGTGGTGGGTCAAGAAATGTTTAGGAGGCAAAATTTGCAGGACATTGTGTTGATTGACTATGATTGAAGAATGGAAGACTGTGGAATGCAAGAACCAAAGTAGTCAGCTGTAAGAAATGAAGCAGCCTCCTCAATCTACTCCTGGGCTTTGCTAGGGCAGAGTGGATCCAAGTGAGATTTTTTTCTTTCCTTCTTAGTGATTTGTAACATTAATTTGCAAATGAAACACATGCCCCTCAGTAAATTGATGGCACTGTGATTCTGTCACATCATTCAAAGCTAAGTAGCAGCATAACAAAAATGTGACTGCCACTAAAATACTTTTACTCAAGAAAATTTGGTTTCCAATATAGCTCCCAAGATTAGTTTATGGAAAAGGCAGTGAATGGTCACTATAATTATAACATCCTGCCTAGAAGGCTGGCTGGGTTGGGTTTAAGGTTTCTTTTGGTGGTTTATAATTGCTTTTTGTTATTTTATCATTTAAACATCAGTAATATTTTATTTATAACTGTGTTGAAAATTGTGTTTCAAGCACACTGTTTGTATTTCTTTAAAGGATATGTTTTCAAAACCAAGACAGAATATTTCTGTGAAAGGCTTGATTCTTAGAAGCATTATTTAATCTCCTAGGTCACTTTTGTGAACCAGACTAAGAGCATGTCATGAGTTTGTTTTTAGGTTTGTCGAGTCCCTTGGCTCAGAAAGTAATAACCTTCAGGGCAAAAGAGATCTTGCAGTTTTTCTGACAGGTTGGCTCAAGTACAGACCTCCTGCTGAAATTAGCTGGGGGGGGGGGGGGACAAGGGGGGGGGTGGACGACTGTCTCAGCATAGGCTGTCCTTATGCCTAAGAAGTGATTCTGCTGAGAAGATGCCTCAAAAAAGGACTTTAATCAAACTCTCAATTAACTCAAATGACATTTAATGTTTCCACTTAATTAGTTTTTAAGTAGAATTAGCCAAACAGCATTTTTACCATTGTTTAAATAATGATAGCAAAAGCTTAAATGGAATCCCCTGAGATTTAAGAGAGCTTTTAAGCATCAGTTATTATCACCATTAAATTTTTAGTACCCTTAAAACTGGAGTTTTTAATGATGTCATTAGGATCACCAAAACAGAATAATTACTTGCTTTCTCCTTCAGAGCATTTTGCTACGAAGATTATGAAAAGAAATGCTCATAATCTGGTCCACTGCAGGCATGCATAAGACACATTAAAAATGAAATGGGATCCTAGCCGGTTTGGCTCAGTGGATAGAGCATCAGCCTGTGGACCAAAAGGTTCCAGCTTTGATTCCAGTCAAGGGAATGTACCTTGGTTGCAGACTTCTCCCCAGCCAAAGCCCTACCCAGGGCTTGTGCAGGAGGCAACCAATCGAAGCGTTTCTCTCACATTGATATTTATCTCTGTATTTCCCTTTCTCTTCTACTCTTCCAAAAGGTGGCGGGGGGGGGGGGGGGGGGGAGGAATCAATGGAAAAATATTCTTGGGTGAGGATTAACAAAAACAACAACAAAGAAATGGGCCCTGGCCACACCCAGGTTTTGGGTTTGATCCCTGAGCAGGGCACATAATAAGAAACAACCAATGAATGCATAAATATTGTAAGTGGAACAACAAATCAGTGTTTCTCCTCCCCTCACCCCTTAAATATCAATAAAGAATGGGAATAAAATAATTTAAAAATGGAACACTGCAGTACCAAATGAAAAGCACGCGCACACACACACACACACACACACACACAAACACACACACACACAATGAAATGGAATTTCAATTAAATCCTAATGACTTTCTTGTATCTAGGTGATAGGAAGTCAGCCTTTAGGTAGTGTCTTCACAGCATCTGGAAATTTGTTCATTAAATTTCTGATTCTCGGGCCCAGAGTCTTCACTCAGAGAAGTTGTGTAGTTCCCACATCCATATAAATTCTGAGATGCTTATGACGAACCAGCTCAGCTTCAGTGTTTACACTGGTCTATATGTCTACTGTAGTCTATGGCATCAAGTCCCAGCTCTCCTACACACTAGCTATAGGGCCTTGGGCGAATCACTGAACTCTAAACATCAGTTGCCTATTCCCTAAGAAGGGGATAATAATAGGATTGTGGTGCAGAGGGTTTACACAAAACACAGTGCCTAACTCGGCAAATACTCAGTGAGTATTAGCTATTAGCATTAACATTGAGCATATTAAGGCTTTCACCTTTTTAATGCATGTTAGCTTTTAAGTTTAAACAAGTAATAATTTGTCAGAAATTAAAGGAAACCTAGAAAATTCTACATTCAGAGAGGTACCACCTAAACCTTAAAATATATCCATCTGAACATGTTTTTGTTCTTTTAGGCCAATTGTATCTGAAAAACATGAACTTCTCATTCAGTTTTTCTCAGACTTAAGCTTAACTGCAGATGGATTTATTGGTCACTACAAATTCAGGCCAAAAAAATTATCTACAACTACAGCACTGCCAATGACCACCACAGTCACTGTAACTACAGGTGAGTTTTTCTGTTTTGATATTTGCACATAAATTTAAGGAGTGTTAAAAAGTCTTTTGAAAGTAGAAAGAAAATAAAAAAAGGAAGTTATTTAAAACTAAAATAAGTCAAGATGAAAACAATACATAGACTAATATGACTCCATTAATGAAAGAAAAGTATAAGATATAAGAATAATAAGCTAAGCCAAAGCTGGTTTAGCTTAATAGATAGAACATTGGCCTGGGTTCAATTCCAGTCAAGAGCATATGCTCAGAGGGGGGCATGCAGGAGGCAGCCCAATCAATGATTCTCTTTCATCATTGATGTTTCCATCTCTCTCCCTTTTGCTCTGAAATCAATAAAAATATTTTTTAAAGAAAAGAATCCTAATATAATATTTATTAAATGGATTTTTAGAAGAAGGGAGAATTTACATTGATGTGAGAAAGAAATATTGTTTGGTTGCCTCCCATCTGCATACCAAAACCTGGGTGTATGCCCTGACTGGGAATCAAACCTGCCACCTCCTGATGTATGGGACAGTACTCTAAACAACTGAGCCATACTAGCCAAGCCTAAGCTAATAATTTGTAAATGTCATCTTAAAAAATTATGACCAGTTAAAAATTACTAGGAATCCACATAACAGATCATTATTAGACTACTTTTTCTTTTTTGGCATTTATAAAATTATGGTTTTCTTTTTATTACATAGAATTACAGTATTTTAGGTTAAAATACTATGCCTGTTTTCACATCTGCCAGTATTTGCACTTTTTTATTGTTTTCGCTTCGCTCCAAAGTGTGTAATACAAAATATATTACATCTTTTGTTAGAGTAAATAAAAAAATATATTTGACATATTCTAGAAGTCAGTTGGGAAACTCTGGTCTGGGACATGATCTAAGAATTGGAGAGACAGGAGGGGTTCCCTGTATCTAGTCTCTACATTTTGTTAACTCTACTCACTGGGATTTCGGGCCCCAGATATCAAAATCTAAATCCTGGGAGCAGAAAAAAAGTGAGGAGGAAGGACCTAAGGTTAAGAAATGAAGCAGTTTGAAATAAGACCAACTTTATGGTCCACTATTTTCTGTATACTCCCCAAGTAAGGTTGTTCTGAGAACAGGCCCTTCAGTTGGTTTTTCTGAGCATTCCCCAAGTTTGCCACCTTGTGGCCTGGAAGGTTACTGCCTCATGTTACTGTATTACTCCAGCTCATCTCAGTGGACCCTGCTGTCCTTATTCTTTCCAATACCCATAGTGCTTAGTGGTTCCTTAGGTTTTATCTCCAGTCTTAAACTTTCTCTTAAATTGCAAACATGGATTTGTAATTATCTCCAAGAGTTTTTCAACTACTAGACATTTATATTAAAACCTATCGAACACAACTTGTTTTTATTACACTACTTTCTGCAATAAACCTGCTCCTCCACCTGCTTCCCAACATAGCCTAAAACATCAGAGCCACCCTCTGAGAGTCATCTTTGACCTCTGTCTGACCTCCCCACTGCTTGCCCTGCCACCACTCACACACACACACACACACACACACACACAGCCAACCAGGCCTGTCTCCCTCTTAAAGTCATTCTCTACATCTTGCCATCCAGTACATTAGCCACTACTGAGCACTGAAAATATGGCTGGTGCACTGAGGGACTAAATTTTTTAATTTAATGAAATTTAAAAAGCCTCATATGCTTAGTGGCTACCAAATTGGACAGCATGGGAGCCCAACTCTTTCATGTGGTATATAAGGCCCTTCACACTTCATCCTATTCTCTCTTTTTAGATTCATCTTTGGTCCCTACTACCTCTTTCCTTATGCTCTAAGTATTTTGGAATTTATCCTGTGTCTGGGAAACTGTTGATGGATTTAAGCAAAGTTCAGGATTAGATTTGTCACTGTGACGTGAATGTGTTTTAGGGGTCAAGAGGATTCGTAGGTTCTGTGGTTGTCCAGGTGAACTTCTGTGCTATGATGTAAATACAGAGAGCCCTGACAGGTAGCTCAGTTGGTTAGAGCATTATCCCATTATACTAAGGTTTCAGATTTGATCCCCAGTCAGGGCACATATAGGGATCAACCAATGGATATATAAATAAGTGGAACAACAAATCAATGCTTCTCTCTTTCTCTCTGTAAAATCAATTTAAATAAATAAATAAACAAACAAACAAACAAATAAATAAATAAAATACAGAGATAGTCAAGAGCTACTGACAACTGTGCAACTCAGGGACCTTGGGAGATATTGACAGGGCTTGGTGATTAATTGGACTAGGGAGATCAGGTATGTGTCAAGAATGCCTTCCAGATCCCTGGGTTGCAAAATCTTGGGGTAATGTAACCATTCACTGAAGTTGAGAACTGGGTAGAGGGGTAGACTGATAAGGTAAGCTGTGACCTTGTTGGATCTGAGGTGTCCGTGAAATGCATGTGGACAGTTATATCTATGAGCCTTCAGACCAGAAGAGAGATTTAAGCAAGATATCTAAATCTAAGAATCATCACCAGTCCATGGTTGATACCAGGACCCAGAATGAAATTGCCTAGGAAGAGGTTAGAGGTGAAAGAAGGGCTGAATTAACTCTCTCAAAACTCCAACACTTTAAAGGGAGAATATGCTAGTAATGGAGACTGAAAGATGAGAACTAGGAGGAGGGAGGGAAGCCAGGAGCATGTGCCAGGGAACCCTGGGAAGAGGATGTTGTAAGAAGGGAATGGTTAGTAGAGCCAAGTGTTGATGAAACTTCCAAAAAGGGAAGGAATAAAATGTTTCCATTCTTTTTCATGACTTGGAGATCCTAGCAAGAGTTATGTAAGTGGGCTGAGGTGTTTGGAACAAGGAGAAAAAATTCATAGTAAATTCCAGAAACTCATTCCACAAGTTTGGTCATAAAGGAGAGAGAGAGAGGCTTTGAGTATCTAGAAGAAGTTAAAGGCAATGGGAAGCAGCCAGCAATGGAGAACATATTGGCAGACAGTAGGATGACCTGAAGAGGGAATATCTACTAAGGTGAGGGGCATGATCTCCAGAGCAGTCACCAACTGGTGGTCTGTGGACCACTGGTGGTCCATGAGGTCTGAAAGGTTGGTAACCGCTGTTCCAGAGAACTCACAGGACAGACCTTTGGCCAGAGGCGGAGCAGCCTCTTCCCTCAGGGGAGGGAGAGAAGAGAGCAATTGCAGACAAGATAGCTTTGAAGGTTTGATGGGAATCTTGCAGACATTTTCTTCTATGATCTCTGTTCTCTCTATGAAATAGGCAGGATCACCTGTTAATAATGAGAAGGGGGGTGGTTAGGAGAATGAGAGAATTTGAAAAAGAGCTGCGGAAATTGGGGAGTGAGTTGATCCACCAAACATCTTGTCACTTCAATGAGGGTCCATTTGTGGACTCAGCTGAGTGCAGGCACAGGTTCAAACAGGGTTGAGGGACAAGGGGGAAAGGACATTTAAGGTATTGTCAGGAAAATGACAGAAATAGTGAAAACTAAGTGGGACAGCCAAGGAAGTAAAGATGAATTGGGAACAAATGAGAGGTGTGGACCACTAAAGATAGGGGGGAAAAAAAGTCATGAGAGTAAATCAATAACTAAGCTTGAAGTAGAGGCAGTTATACTGGATATAAAGATATCTAAATTTGAGAGATTGATGACTAAAGACTTCAACAGGAGTACATGTGAGCCTGGGACTGAGTTACTGAAATGGAGCAGAGAGAAAGTCTCTGGGAAGAATGAGGCCATGGCATGGAGAGGGAGCACCATACTGAGGGTGCCCCACCAAGATAGGTGCAGGAGTACACAGAGAGGAAGGCTGAGAATCAGGTGTGTGCTGGAAGAGCAGGGCAGTGGGGAGATGACAGTAGCAGGGTGAAGAGGGTTAAGGTTGTGTAGCTGATGACTAAGAGCAAGGATCTACGGAAGGCAAGGATGGAACAGTGTGGGACACAAACCCAACTTCCATTCTGACATTTGGAGGCTGAGAAGGAGCTGGCTTCCAGTCATCTACATAGAAGGGTGCCCTTTCACCCATCAGGGAGAACATAATGCCAGTATTTTTTGGTTTAATTCATTAGGTAAATCTCTAACTTCTGGAACAACATTCTCTCAAGTCTTTACTGAGCTCTTTGTCTTAAAAAGAAATATATGTATGTATTATTTAACATTTTATTTTATATATTTTATGTTGTAATCCACTTCAGATCCTTTTTGGAGTTTAGTAGGGATACAAATTAAGAGTAAATAAATAATAAATTCACACAAGAGTCCACAGAACCTATTAGAAGGGCAGTACTTCAATTGCAAATTCTTACCTAAGGAGTACAATTTTGTTACAGTTGTTTTGCTTGGTTTTTCCTAGAATATTGCCACATATAAGTGAATAGCAAGTATTTTTGAAACATTTTAAATGATGGTAATTGGGATTTAATATTTTATTTTGTTAACTCATGGTTTCTCAACCTTGGGACTAGTCACATTTTGGGCCACATAATTCTTTCCTATTGAGCACTGTCCATTGTAAGTTATCTAGCAGCATTCCTACCCACTAGATGCAAAAAGCATGCCCTAGGTGTGACAACAAAACTATTTCCAGACAGGCCGTGGAAGGCTCAACATAAATGTTTAGTAATTGGTTGCATCTAATTATAGATATAACGTACTTTACACATGAACAGTATTTCTAAAAACCCTGCACTGCTCTCATTTAAGTAATTGCATGTTTTAAATGTACCAAGAAAGCTCTCTCCATCTTTAGGGAGACAATATATACACTATATATTTGTTGTACTAGATTTTTCTAAGCAGGGCAAATGAAAACTCTATTTTTGGTTATAGTATTAGTTTTATGGAAAATAAGAGAATAAGGTTAATTATGGGTTTTCTTTTATCTCAGGCTTAAAATTCAACAAAGGAGCAATTTTAGTTGGTAGTATAAATAATTTCTTTTGCATGCTCTTTAATTATTTCATTGCAATGACATATTGGTGGCTCAGTTTAATAAATATGAATGTTAAAGTGATGGATTTGTATCTAAATACCAATTATATTTGAATTCATTTTCCTGAATCTTATGTCTTTTCTTTTTAATTAAGGTTTAAAACCCACCATAGCCATGTGTCAACAAAAATGTAGATGGGCCGGTACTCTGGAAAGCAATTACTGTTCAAGCAATTTTGGTAAGAAATAAAATCAAGCAACTTTGTGGACTTGTGCTCTTCAAAGTATTAGAGTTCATCACTGAGAAAAATATGTATATAGAAAATTTACTTTCCATATAAACTTAATTTGATTCCTAATATGTGATACTCCTATATATTTTGGTTGGCTCAGTATTTCTGGGGGGGGAAAAAGCCACACAGCAAACCTGTATACTTTTTTCTCACATATTTTTCATATATTGGTTATCTATTTATACATTGACTAGAGGCCCAATGCAGGAAGACTCGTTCAAAAATGAGCCTTCCTTCCCCTGGCTGCTGGCACTGCCTTCGCTCTGTCCAGAGCTCCCTTTCCCTCCCACCTGGAGTACAGAAGGCCTGTGTCGTTGCCATGGTGATGACACAAGGGTCCTGACCTACCCCCTGCCACTCACACCTATATATGCAAATTGTTGGGTTAATTTGCATATTTACTCCTGATTGAATGGTGGGCACTGAGAAGGTACAGTCAATTAACATATATTTTTTAGGTAGATAATTCAACTTCAATAAATTAAAAGCATATCTAAGCTGGCCTCTCTCACAGGAAATTCAAGCATTTCCTCTGCAATGTCTGTTTTTCTAAAATATTAAATTTAAACCTGGAAATCTATTTGGAAACACTTATAAATTGGAACCTGAGGAGACATTACTAATGATTTAGAATTTATAAGAGCTTTTTAAACTAAAATATAGTTGCATTTTTTTGTATGAAAACCACTTAAGAGCAAAGATACCATATTTAATTTTGTTGCTTATTTCCACAAGAAAGATTTAGGAAGGTCTTGTCAAAAAAAAAAAAAAAAGCTGTGTAAACTAAAAGCTTATCCCAGACCGAGGGCCTCCTAGAGGGGCTCTGCATGCCTTGCAGACCTGGGCCCTTCCCCACTTTCATTTTCCAAGCATAAAAATGAACCAAACAGCACAAGTGTCACTGCCACCACAGCCAGCCTGTCTCCGCAGGAGATGCTTCAGGAAATCTTCTTCTCTATCTTTTGATGCCACCTATTCCACTTGGCGACAAGTTGACATTTTGCAGTGAATACTCAGAGGAGAATTCTGACTTTTTTGAGCTTACACAACATGTAAGCAGTGAGCTCTCACTTCACCCCAAAAGGCTCCTATCAGCCAAGTCCAAAACTTGATTAACTCCACTGTGATTTGCTTACACATGGGAAAACAACCACAAACAGTCACCTGAAGCCCATTGGTTCTCAGCCTGACCTCCAGGGGCAGTTTGGGTTGTCACAATAACTGGGGAGTGTTACTGTTTTTTTCTGGGCAGGGAGAGGCTCATAAAATAGTCTTTCAATGCAGTTCCTGTTCCACATGGCATTACCCTCACCAAAATGCCAAAAGCACACCTTTGAGAAACACATATTCTTTTCTTCTGTGGCTCAGAAATTAGACTCTTTTCTCCAAAAGTCAAAATGGAAAAAATAGAGTTACATAATGAAAAGCAACTGAATTTTGCTATAAAAAATTTTAAACAAGAAAATGCTTTGTTATAATTCAGTTCTATATCTTGATTTGTTAAATTAAATAAACAGGGTGGATAAGAAAGAGAATATCAGCTCGACCTTCATGGCTCAGTGATTGAGCATCGACCTATGAACCAGGAAGTCATGGTTCAATTCCTGGTCAGGGCACATACCTAGGTTTCAGGCTCGCTCCCCAGTATGAGGCATGCAGGAGACAGTGAATCAATGATTCTCTCTCATCATTGATGTTTCTATCTCTCTCTCCCTCTTCCTTCCTCTCTGAAATAAATAAAAATATCCTATCTAATAAAAGAGTAATATGCAAATTGACTGTGCCGCTGCTACACCCACCAGCCAATCAAGAGCTAATATGCAAATAAACCTAACCAAGATGGCTACCACCATGGAAAGCAGGAGGGAGGCTTGGGTTTCCCCAGGAATGAAAGAAGCCAGGCTTTCACGAGTCCTTGGTGGCCTTGGCTGGGAATATGTCCATCAGAGCCAGCTGGGTTCCTCTGCAGATGATCAAAGTGATCTGGGGGTCCCTGGCCAAGGTCCAAGCCTAGGTCAGAGGCTTGTGGCCATGGCCAGGAGTGTGTGTGTTGGGGGGATCTGGGCAATTGCAGCCTGCTGGAGGGTTTATGCCTTGGCAGGGGTGGAGCCGGAGATCAGAGGAGATAGGTTTGAACCACAGAGGAAACACCTTTTCTGACCACTCGTTGGCTAAGCTCTCTGTATGCCACTGGTAATATTCTTAGTAACTTGGATATAAGAATCCAAAAAGTGATCTAGGGCTTTTCTCCATTCCTGGAGAAAAACAAACAAACCATGGTCTGCTGCTAGAGGGCTAAGAAATGTCATAACCTGCCTGCCCTAGGCGGTTTAGCTCAGTGGATAATGCCTAGGTTTGCCAACAGCAGGGTCCAGGTTAAATTCTGATCAAGAGCATGTACCTAAGTTGTAGGCTCTGAGGCCCAGGTCAGGGCTCATGCAGGAGGCAACCAATCAAAGTGTTCCTATCACTTTAATATTTATATCTTTCCCTTTCTCTTCCATATTCTTTAAAAATCAATGGAAACATATCCTCAGGTGAGGATGGAAGGAAGGAAGGAAGGAATGAAGGAAGGAAGGAAGGAAAGAAGGAAGGAAGGAAGAAGTGTCATATCCTATGAAAGACACATCTTGAAAATGCCTAAAGAACATTGTCATTTTTTCACGGTAAAGTCCGTGTTGATGAAAACACCTTGGTGGCTGCAGTGACTGGCAGTGGCTGGTGCCTTTCTCTGATCAGCCCAGTCGTCTCCCTCAAAGGGAGGCCAGACTGCTGAGGGCTCCCAGTATGTGAGAGGGGGCAGGCTGGGCTGAGGGGATCTCCCTCCCCCCTCCCCAGTGCACAAATTTTGTGCACCAGGCCCCTAGTTTTTAATAAAAAGAACATAAAAGACCTAGTAAAAGGCAGATATTTATGGATAATTAGAGAGAGCTAGGGACCCATAGGATGAACCAAAGTTCCAAGACAGAGGACAACTAAAGAGAGGGGCTAAAGAAGGGAGACACATAAAGGTAGGCACACACACCCATACAGACACAAAGACTCCCTTCCTTGTGGCCCAAACACTATCATGCAACCTTCAAGTTTGGTGTTGCCTTAGAAGACTCAAGGTCTTGTGGAGTATGTACAGGTAGAGGCTCATACTTAGTAATTGATCTACATGTTGGATAAGACATTGTGAAGAGTCTCTTCTCAGTAATGGACCATAGTGCACAGCTATTCGGGTTTCTCTCTGGGGTCTCAATATCTAGCATCATGGTCCACATGATACCACCAGGACTCCTTTCTTCAACCTGAATTTTGGTGACAAGTGTACAAAATCAAATTTGATTATGCTGCTAGGGCTTTCTCTTTAACATTAAAATGCTTCCGATCTGATACTTAGAAAAATGTAAAATTATGTTCAATTCTGCTTACATTTGCCTTCACTGTCATATTATTTCAAAAATGTTTTCTTCCACAGTATTTGCTGGTACTGTTATCACAACCATCATGCGGGGTGGAAGGTTGCATGCCACAGTCTCCCTCATCAGCATCTATAAAGAGGGAAATCTGGCAATTCAACAGGCTGGCAAGAACATGAGTGCCAAGGTCATTGTGATTTGCAAGCAGTGCCCTCTCCTCAGAAGAGGTAAGGAGGGAAATTTTAGTCCTGCAGTGAAGCTCAGGGACAGAGATGGGAACAAGAGAGCCTCTCCAAGCTACTCAGGGATCTGAGCATGCCCTAGCTTGTTGTTAATGGATATCAAGTCAGGGCTTTTGGAACAAATGGAAGACTGTGGCATCAGGCAGAATTGGGCTCTAAGCTCAGTTCCTGTGAGGTGGACAAGGATGAGGAGCGGAAATGATGAATGAGTCCAAGCACCACATGAGGTTAGATCAATAGACAGACACAGAGGAGCAGTTCAAAAGAAAGAGACTTTCAGTTATGAACTTAAGGTGCCAATATTAGAGGAAAATATTCACCAAATAGAAGGCAATTCATTCCTAGCCAATTTGGCTCAGTGGATAGAGCGTCAGCCTATGGACTGAAGTGTCCCAGGTTTGATTCTGGTCAAGGGTACATGTCCAGGTTGTGGACTTGATCCCCAATGGGAAGGGTGTGCAGGAGGCAGACAATCAAAGATTCTCTCTCATCCTTGATGTTTCTCTCCCTCTCCCTCTTGAAATCAATAAAAATATTAAAAGGTGTTTTTAAAAAAATGCAATTCCAAGCTCAAGTTCAGAAGGGAGAGGGGCATGTATTGGTTAGAATTAAAGATCTGAGAATAATTTTCAGATGTAGGATCATTTAATCCATACATGGAATGAGTTTAAGAGAAATCAAGGGAAGGGGAAAGTTACTCCAGAGTCAGAACCACATAATTTTTAAACAAGCTCTTTAATTTATAAAAGTAATATATTTTCTATGGTTATAAAAAAAAGTTTATGTAGAGAATGATATAAAATGTGAATCCCTTTCCCTTTTATTTTACTTTATTAATTTTTTTATTGATTAAGGTATTACATATGTGTCCTTATTCCCTCATGACCCCCCCTTAATCACCCCACTCATTCCCTCATCCCACTTTTATCTATGTCCACTGGTTAGGCTTATATGCATGCATACAAGTCCTTTGGTTGATCTCTCCCCTTTACCCCCACCCTCCCCTATCTTACCTCTAAGGCACATGTGTCAAACACAAGGCCCGCGGGCCAAATCCGTCCCGCCAGGCCTTGCAATGTGGCCCGCACTGCGCTGTCATCACTGACTCCGCTGCGTTTCCATCACAATGACAGTTTATGACTGTTCAGTAAACCATTCGGCCCGCGATTTAGGCTGGATTTTAGATTTTGGCCCCTTCTCTGATTGAGTTCGACACCCCTACTCTAAGGTCTGATGGTCTGATCGAAGTTTCTCTATCTCTGGATCTATTTTCATTCATCAGTTTATTTCATTATATTCTAAAAATGAGTGAGATAATATGATATTTATCTTTCTCTGACTTATTTCACTAAGCATAATGCTCTCCAGTTCTATCCATGCTGTTGCAAATGGTAAGAACTTTTTTTTTTTTTTTTTTTTTTTTTTTTTTTTTTTTTTAACCACAGCATAGTATTCCATTGTATAGATGTATCACAGTTTTTTTAATCCACTCATCTCCTGATGGGCACTTAGGCTGTTTCCAAATCTTAGGTATGGTAAATTATGCTGTTATGAACATAGTGGTGCATATATCCTTTCTAATTAGTGTTTCTAGTTTCTTGGGATATATTCCTAGAAGTGGGAACACTGGGTCAAATAGGAGTTTCATTTTCAGTGTTTTTTTTTAAATATATTTTATTGATTTTATACAGAGAGGAAGGGAGAGAGATAGAGAGTTAGAAACATCGATGAGAGTCATCGATGAGCTCCCTCTTGCACACCTCCTACTGGGGATATGCCGCAAAAAAGGTACATGCCCTTGACCGGGATCGAACCCGAGACCCTTCAGTCCCCAAGCCGACGCTCTATCCACTGAGCCAAACCGGTCCCGGCCATTTTCAGTTTTTTGAAAAAAACTCCATACTGTTCTCCACAGTGGATGCACCAGTCTGCATTCCCACCAGCAGTGCACTAGGGTTCTTTTTTCTCTGCATCCTGGCCAGCATTTGTCATTTGTTGATTTGTTGATGATAGCCATTCTGACAGGTGTGATTTGGTACCTCATTGTCGTTTTGATTTGCATCTCTCATATGATTAGTGACTTTGAGTATGTTTTCATATTTTTCTTGGCCTTCCTTCAGTCTTCTTTCAGAAAGTATCTACACCATTTGTTGAAGAGACTGTCTTGACTATATTCTATGTTCATGCCTCCTTTGTCAAATATTAATTGAACATAGTGGTTTGGGTCGATATATGGATTCTCTGTCTTATTCCATTGGTCAATATGTCTGTTCTTATGCCAGTACCAGGCTATTTTGAGAACAGTAGCTTTGTTATACAGCTTGAAATCTGGTATTGAGATCTCACCTACTTTGTTCTTCTTTCTCAGGATTGCTGTGGTTATTTGGGGTCTTTTTTTTTATTCCAGATGAGGGTTTTTTTTGTTTTTTTTTTGTTTTTTTTTGAATATTAGGCTTTTATTATATAGGATTACTGACTATTTTCCCTATGTTGTATATTACAGGAAAGCACGATATTTTTTTTTATTGCAGTTTTTAAAAAAAAAATCTTTTATTGATTAAGGTGTTACTTATGTGTCCTTATTCCCTCATTATCCCCTCATTCCCCCCACTCATGCCGTTACCTTTCTGTTGTCTGTGTTCATTGGTTAGGCTTATATGCATGCATACAAGTTCTTTGGTTGATCACTCCCACTTACCACTCTCCACTACCTTCCTTCTGAGGTTTGATGGTCTGATAGATGTTTCCCTGTCTCAGGAACTGTTTTTGATCATAAATTTATGTTGTTCATTATATTCCATAAATGAGTGAGATCATGTGATGTTTAACTTTATCTGACTGGCTTATTTCACTAAGCATAATGCTTTCCAGTTCTATCCATGTTGTTGCAAATGGGAGGAATTCCTTCCTTTTTAGCGCAGTGTAGTACTCCATTGTGTAGATGTACCACAGTTTTTTAATCCACTCATCTGCTGATGAGCATTTAGGCTGTTGCCAAATCTTAGCTACTAGAGGTCCAGTGCACAAAATTCATGCACGGAGAGGGGGGTGTCCCTCAGTCCAGCCTGCATCCTCTCCAATCTGGGACTCCTCTGGGGATGTCCAACTGCCCATTTAGGCCCAATCTAAACAGGCAGTCAGACATCTCTCTCACAATCTAGGACTGCTGGCTTTCAACTGCTCACCTTCCTTCCTTCCTGATTGCCCCTAACCACTTCAGCCTGCCAGCCTCATCACCCCTTAACCACTCTGCCGCCAGCCTGATTGATGCCTAACTGCTCCACTGCCAGCCTGTTTGCCCCTAACTGCCTTCCCATTCAGGCCTGGTCACCTCTAACTGCCCTCCCCTGCAGGCCTGGTCCCTCCCAACTGCCCTCTCCTACTGGCCATCTTTTGGTGGCCATCTTGTGTGCACATGGGGGCAGGATCTTTGACCACATGGGAGAAGCCATCTTGTGTGTTAGGGTGATGGTCAGTCTGCATATTACTCTTTTATTAGATAAGATAGAGGCCTGGTGCATGGGTGGGGCCAGTTGGTTTGCCCTGAAGGGTGTCCTGGATCAGGGTGGGGGTTTCCTTGGGGGGTGGGTGGCCTGGGCAAGGGGCCTGTGGTGGTTTGCAGGCCGTCCACAATCCTGGTGATCCAAGTGGAGGCCCTGGTATCTGGGATTTATGCATCTTCTACAATTAAAACTTTGTAGCCTAGAGTGGAGCCAAGCTTCCTGCTTGCTCTGTGGCTGCAGCCATTTCTGTTGGGATTTATGTATCTTCTATAATTGAAACTTTGTATCCTTGAGTGGAGGCCTAGGCAGCAAGGGCAGGCAGAAAGCTTGGCTTCCTCCATTGTCAGGGAAAGCCACGCTTACCTCCTGCTCTCTGTGGCTTCAGCCATCTTGGTTGGGTTTATTTGCATATTTGCTCTAATCAGCTGGTTGGCATGGCCAGTGGGTTTGGCTTGTGGACAGAGCAGAAGTATGGTCAATTTTATATTACTCTTTTATTATATAGGATGGTAAATTGTGCTGCTGTGAATATAGTGGTGCATATATCCTTTCTGATTGATGTTTCTAGCTTCTTGGAATATAATCCTAGAAGTGGTATTACTGGGTCAAATGGGAGTTCCATTTTTAGTTTTTTGACGAAACTCCATACTGTTCTCCACAGTGGCTGCACTAGTCTGCATTTCTACCAGCAGTGTACCAGGGTTCCTTTTTTTCTGCATCCTCACCAACATTTGTCTTTTATTGATTTTTATGATAACCATTCTGACAGGTGTAAGATGGTACTGCATTGTCATTTTGATTTGCATTTCTAGGATAATTAGTGACTTTGATCATGTTTTCATGTGTCTCTTGGCCTTCCTTTGTCTTCTTTCAAAAAGTTTCTATTTAGGTCCATTGCCCATTTCTTTTCTTTTCTTTTTTTTTTTTTTCATATCTATAGATTTTTTTTCTTTTATTTTTTTATTTTTTTATTATTTTTTTTATCAATCTTTATTGTTCATATTGTTACAAAGGTTCCTCATTTCTTCCCCCCTCCACCAGGTTCCCACCCCACCCTCCGCCCCCTCCCCATCCCCCATTGTCCTCATCCATAGGTGCAGTTTATGTTCAGTCTCTTCCTCCCTCCCTTTCCCCAATAGTAAATCCCTTTTCAGATAGTAAATCAGTTACTTAGCATTTTCTCATATCAATAATACCACCACATGCCCAATGATACATTTCACACAAAAGACATTTCCAAATAGGTCAACCAGCCTCATCCAGGCCCCACCCAAGGCACTCACAGATCAACACAGATCAACACCCCAGCCCTATACTAACTCAACACATCCAGATCTAAGCCTTCATCACTTGATTCAGCAGACCCTCAAGTTCCCACAAAAGTTTCCAGCCATGTCTGAGAGGCAGCCGTGGGGCAGAGGCAGGCGAGGAGCGAAATGTTCGGGCCTGGCTGCTCCAGGCCTGGCCTCTGTTGCTCTGGTT